GTCTATTTAATAAATATAATAAAATATATTTAATAAATACAAAACAAAGTCACCTTCACAAGAAACAGAACACACTACGCCTATGCAGATAAGGACGCTTGATAATGAAGAAACCGAACGACTAGTTATGGCATTTTAAGGGCGCAAATATAATAGACCTGCGAAGTGTTGATCAGTTTACCGATGTTTCAAAGTATTTAACGAACTGTTTCACCTATTCGCTCGTACATCATATCGATATGCAGAAGCTATCTTGTTACAGAGGTCAAATATTATGGTATCATCTTACTTTTCAATTATTTACAATGCAATGCATAGACAATAAAAATGACTTCACGCACTAAGAATTCAGTTCTTACATTTAACATTGTTGCCGTTAGCTCTCAGTTCAATTTGTATATGAGTTACCTTCAATTGAAAATTGTCAGACATAGCTGGTATCAACTCTATACCAAAATGTGTAGATCATGCAAAGAAGTAACTTTCAGGAACAGAATTGATTCCTTCATCATGTAGCAATCCTGTGAAATGTTGTCTGATTCAATTCCATGACAAATGTTTGGAATACAAACTGAATGGAGAGAAGTGTTAATTTCTTGTGATCGATGGCTTCCTTCTTTTCCTCGTAAGATTCCCACATTTCTTGTTCACATGAAATCACTTTATTCAATTGCATGGAATATAGAATATTTTTTAATCGTGTCAGGAATCACACGTTAAAAGGTAAGAAAGAGGATAGTATATTAATTGACAGAATCATTCTAGCACAAGCGCAGAAAAAATTGTTGAACATTGATAGCATCACCTTAGAAAGAGCTGTGGAACTTTGTAGAAATGCCAAAGTAATGAAACGACAAATAGAGTCAGTCAGGAATAGATATGGTTTGGGAGCAAGCAAAGTAGATGAGGTGAAATCTAGGCGAAAATCTGAGAATATGAAAGAAAATGTAAGGAAGAATACGTGTAAAAAATGTAATGGCCTACATTGATATACTGAATGTGTGTATGGCTGGAAACTTTGAAAATAGAGGTGAAAGCTCTCAAAGGGAAAATATAAGAACCACAAAAGAAGTTGTCAAGAAAGAAAAAGGCGAAGATAATTTTGAATTTGACAGTTTGTTTGTGGACAGATTGAGAAATTTAGGTGAGATCAAAACCAAAAATAAAATGGTATGGACTGAAAATTTTGTAGTGCATGATAAAAACATAAAATTTAAGATAGGTTCTGAGGTGAATGTATTGCCAAAAAAAGTTCTGAATGTTTCATGCACAGGTAGTAAATGTCATAAATTAGAGAAATGTGCTACAGTACTGGAAACATATGGTGGTACAAAGCTAACACCCAAGGGAAAATTCAAACTTCAATGTTTATGGTCGAATAAATCTTTTGAATTGGAATTTTCAGTAGTAGATTTGAATATTAAACCAATAGTAGGTTTACCAGCATGTTATGATTTAGGTTTGATCAAAAAGTCAGAAAGTGTTGATGTCAGCCAGGAGACAAGAGATAAAGAAAAAATAATTGCTTGCTCAAAATAGTGATGTTTTTGAAGGAATTGGTACGTTTTCTGTTATTATGTGAATAAGTTATAAGGAGAAGATGTTAGTAGGTAGTCGTTAAGATGTATTATTAGTCACTGCTGTTTGTGACAGCTGGCTTGAAGATAGAGAAAAGTGACCTACATTATCGGCACCAGCATGGCTACGAATGCATATTGTTGTAACTGTATTCTTTTTAATGAATTATATATATGATAAATAAGGAATCTGTTTGAGTATGAATATTCTGTTTGGTATAATACTACAGGGACACCTTGTCTCGTCATTCCATTTGGATTCCAAGACAACATCGGCTGCGGAGGAGGTTGTATATCTTAATGGGAATCTGAAAGTAATTTCGAATTGGGGTGTAATCAACCAGCTTCGATTCAATGCCACAAAAACACAGGCATCGGTTTTCTCCAAAAGGATGAATGTCGCCCAACCGGCAAAATCATGTCGCTGGAATTGCAACGGCTGCTTTTCGAAAGTTTGAAACACTTTTCCGAAACAGAAAACTGGACACACCTCAGCAATTTCTGATGTTTTATATATAAACATGGCCGACTCTGTAGTGTTAGTGGAAAGTGGTTCTGTGAATGATGCTAATTATTTATTCTTTTGCTTCAAGAATAAACCTTATTCAACCTACTATGTGAGCATTAAGTATTCCCACATTCTACTGCTGTTTGCAGCGAATGAAAAACG